GTACACTGTGCGGATGAAGCTGAACTTGGATCTTGAACTTAAATTGCATAAGCTTCACCTACTATTCCGCCAACCTCCATTTGATATGATCGTTGAAGCTCTATTCCATCCATCCTCCAATGCGTTGTTTGCCTAGAAAAAATACGAAAACACAAACACTAGATAAACAACATTAGAAATAAATTGTTTGTTAAACATCATCAAAACAAGAAGGCCAACAGATGCACCATAGGATATTGTGAGCACTTATACTCCACACCATTTTAGTTGAAGAAAAGTACACATGATTGTATATTTGCTCACGAGTTATCTACCCCAAGGGTAGTGTGTGATATTGAGTTTAGACATACATGATGTGTCCTTGACGAGGTTTTTCACAGATTTGTATTTTCATTTCTGTGCCACCTACCCAAGGGTAGTGTGAGATGCTATGATATGGCATATATGACATATATTTGGGTGAGGTGTTGGTAATGTATTTTTTCTTGTGTGATTATTTACTTATAAAATTCAGAGTTGATATTTAGCGATCCACAATTTGAGATAAATGATATATATATGAGGGTTTCTTTATTTGGATTATTCCCTTGACGTACTCATCTCGTGTTGTGGGTTTCTAAATCTTAACTCCTCTTAGTACATGATAAATGATATAGGTAGATGATGTATATTATAGGTAGAGCCTCCATTATATGCACAACCCTTCTCCTGGGGGCAGGCAAAGATGTTCTTGCTAGCGCTCTGACGCTGTTGTATTCCCCTCTTTTCAGGTAACATGTTAGAGTTACAGAGAGTCGCAGGTTGATGAGGATTCAGCATAGTCGTCGTCATTCATAGGTAGCTGGTTGGTGCTCCACACTGTACTACCTATGATTTTAGTTTTCTTGTAGAGATGCATTTCATTTTGGAGGCTGAGTGCCTTTGTATTTTTCAGTTGTCTCTTATATATTAGAGATCAGATACTCTTATTCCAGATTATCAGATGTACTTTCTTATCTTCTGTTGGAACATAATTATGGTTATTATTGGATATTTCTTCTCTATATTGTGATCCTTGTATTGTTATCTTTGATATATCTGCTTGCACCCTTACTTTTAATTTTTGATATATGCTAGAGTGATATTAATGTGATGTTGAAACATGTTTATGCATAGTGTTGGGTGCATGACAGGTTCATCTTTGAATTTTTTTTGGACTGCAGCCTTGTGTGAAACCAGTTGCGTCACACCCTCTCAATCACCATCACATCAACTCAAGGATAATTCATCGCACAACCAGTCGACACCTGTAAAGCTATCTGCCAATCCAGCTGTCTGATTGGACTCAGCCATAATTACACATTTATCCCTCTTAGTTGAGTATAAATGTGAGCTCAGCACCTACTACCAAGGCGGATCCTGTGGCCTCCTTCGGGGCCACAAGTATGCTATTTCTGCACACTTAGACTAAGAACTTATTTAATTCATTGGTTTCTTCTTCATTCAAGCTCAAAATACTGACCTAACCATCAGAGGAATCACCAGAGAACTCAACTTTGATCCTCTAATGTTCCTATTTTGCAACTGTCTCACCTTAGACAGGGGATCGGTTACTTGAGGGAATGAGAGAGCCCACACCGTATATATTGACCCTAAGCCTCGTCATTGATTTAGAATTATCTGCTAATCTCGTTGTTGAGTCTCTGGACATCAACATGCGATTTCTCTTTTTGCTTTTTAACTAAACAAGAGAAATTGATGAAAAGCATTATCACCACATAGTTTTCAAGTGAAACAAATAGTAAAAAGTAAAAACCCTATTCCAGTAAATGCTTGGAAATGTTTGGAAAATGATTTCTAGGTAAGTTTTCCATTTTCTGTTCTTTTAGGAAACCAACTATATCTAAAGAGGAAGGGATTTTCTTCATTAACTTAAAAGATTTTAACCCTACAAGACTACAAAGGGATTATGTACACTAATATTGCAGATACTTACTTCAAGAATCGTTTATTTATCTATGATAGGGCTCGTAGCCCTATTTTACATAAAAAAAAAAAAGAATCGTTTACTTGTTATATCTCTAGCTATTTAACTATTAGGGAATCCTCCTCCCGCTTCGCCTAATATCATATACAATATCTTCTACAATTGTTGGTGGATAATGCAGGAGCTGTGTAGAACTTAATCTCATCAATCATAATATTTTCTGAAAAAACCTTTGTAGGGTCGTCCAACTTCACTTATAAAAACAAGAATCAATTTGAAGATTTAAATTTAGCAACACATCGAAATTGAAGCTAAAATTATCAAACCCAACCTTGAGGATCAAACTCAAAATTTCAAGGCAAAATTAGCCTAGGGGTATCACATGATGAAGCTCCATCTCCAGCTCTAGTCATACCAACTTCTTTCATTTTATTATTAATTAGCTTGTTAATGAAACAAGATAACTAATAGTTAACCTAGTTTTAAGAACAGAGAAACGATACCTACTGTGGATGACTCAGATGATTGGAAGGTTTCAATATGGCTTTTACGCTCTTGGGTTCAGAGTCATTTCTGAATGGGGTCATCCAAAAAAATCAAAGAGAATTAGAAAGAAAATATACGAATTGCTACATCTATTCCTTTATATAAATAGGAGGATCAAAGAATTCCTATTCATGCTATAGTAAATTCAATAGTAAATAATTACTGTAGCATGAACAATAGCATTATTATTTGTAGCACATTGAAACACTTATGGTTACTGTATGAACAATAGCATTATTACTGCAGCACACGGAAACACTGTAGTACTTTTAAAATGTGTGATACTGTAGCAATCCAAAACTTACTGTAGCATTTAAGAAACATGCTATGGCATGAAAAAAATTATCGTCGTGCTTTGCACGGACCGCAAACTAGTATATATGAATCCCACTAAAGATTAAAAGCTGTGACATCTTATTATTCTCTTAACGAGTATAACCATCAAATAGAGGAACATATACGTCACTTGCTTTGACTTGAAGAATTATTTTCGTACAAACAATTTTCATGCTTGATCCAAAGCATGCTTTGCATAAAACGCAATGCAGTGAAAGGAACATTGAAAGAATATAATGGCACTGACATTTTCCTATAACTTTATAGTGATTTTAAGAGGAAAAAGTGGGCTGACCCCATTAATATTTTCTTGTCATTCTTTGCTAAAGCATTTTTTAGGAAAAATCCTAATCAATTGAATAAAGGCATTCCATTTATTAAGTCAATTTCCTTTCCTTCCCATGTGCATCAAAAGTACAATATCACTTCTTAATACGCCAAGAGAACTTATTAATAAATTATAGCAACCGTACACATAAGTAACGAATTATATAGATTAAAATAAAGCCGAGCAATTAATTTGGACATATTTCTGTTGCTTGACTTCAAAGCATGAGTTTATTAAGAGCGAACACTGAAAGCTGCCATTCTCCTAAGCTTGTCATATTATAAATTGTCACCATCAACAATACTAATCATATTGATATAAACTTCAAACTTTCAAAGCATCTAACTTTTTTATCTATTCCTTTATACAAATAGGAGGATCAAAGAATTTCTATTCATGCTACAGTAAAATAATTAATATAGTATAAACAGTAGCTTCTTACTGTAGCATACTGGTCGGTTTCAAAAAATGCGAGGTTCTGTAGCAGTTCAAGGAACTTATGGTTACTCTATGAACAGTAACATCATTACTGTATCACCGGTGGTACTGTAGCATTTTCGAAATGTGAGGTACTGTAGCAATTCAAAACTTACTATAGTATTTAAGAAACATGATTGCTGTAGCATTAAAAAATTTATCGCCGTGCCCGCAAACTAGTTTATCATAATAACAAAGCATTGAGTTTGAGATCATAAGAGAATTAATCACCCCATAATTAACTAAACTAGCATTATAGTACAAAAATGCCCACCATCTCCCCTCTCCTATCAACATGCCCCCCATTGCACGTGCAGCGTAACCTCGGTTTTCAAAGCAAGGATTAAAAAGCAGCAATCCACATGAGAAGCGAAAAAATCAAAGCAAATGGGGACTCTAAACTTCAACAGATCAGCATTAAAGCCCATGATTAATATATAATAATTCAACCGGTCAGCCCCCTCATTATACATAGATTTCCATGACCAAGCTGAAATCTATATAACGAGCAATAATACATGTACATTGTCTAGTTATGAGCATAGCATAGATTTCCACAATAATTAATTAGGTTAACTAATTAACTAGTAATAAAGAAGTTTCCAAGATGTGCACTTATATTTCAGTGATTAAATAGTTAGATGAAAGCGAGAGGCCAATGGCAGTTTTTGACTTAGAAGGCATTCTTGTAGTTTTTTAGGTGAAAGAAGTGATGGCTTGCACCCCTCATAAAACAAAACCCTATATTATATTATACTAACTAAACTTTAGCCACCTACATATTCAATTAATATATTTTCTCAACCTTCCTCTTGAATAATAAGAAGACAAGTTACTCGTCTGAGAGAAATCATTGCTTTATTAAAAAAAAAAAAGAGAGACAAAATAGATAGAATTGATGCACACGATCATTCTCTGAGAACAATTTATAAGCATTAAACAATTAGTGGTCTAACAGAGGAAACCTACAATAAAAAGAAGAAGACAAAAAATAAAAAAGATTTTTCCTCCAATAGACTTGCTCATCCTCTGAAACCAAATGTAATGATAAAATGCGAACACAAAAAGTGCTGAAAAATCAGCTCAAGTATTACTAAGGTACGTGTAGCAAGGATATATCCAGAGCTGAAACTGATCATATACCAAACAAAGATAGATTAATCACAGTAGTAAATTAAAAGCTCTAAACAAAAGAGAGAGAAAAAAAATGAGGGTTTTCTTCTTTTATTTACTGCTAAAAGAGAGAGACAAAAATATAGCTTTTTCCTCTTACTTTTCCCCCCCCCCGCCATTTCTACAAAGCTCCTTTTCTTATCGTTTTGCTTTTTCATAGCAAAGCCTTCCCCCCCCCCCCGCCATTTCTACAAAGCTCCTTTTCTTATCGTTTTGCTTTTTCATAGCAAAGCCTGCAGCCAGATCCACCTGCAGACGTCAGCGTACGGATCAAACGTCTTACATGAGGAAAGCAGTAGCAACTGAGACCTACGTAAAGTAACATGATGATTTTTCCAATCTTCGCTGTTACTCGAAAAAGGACAATCACGATTATTTACTTTATGTTTGCTTCTTTTCCTAGCTAACCATGTTTTCAAATTCAGATGAATTGTTAACACGTTTGGCAAAAAAGACGCAAGCTAGGGCAAGTTCTATAACGCTTGAATTAAATTAATTTATACTGTTATTTGAATTAAATACAGCGCATTGTTAACATAATTGCAACAAGGGTAAAAGTTTGCATATGATACTCATATTGGGTGACCTTTATACATCTATCTAGGAGCATGATACCGTACGTCGGTATTATTGATCCGTATAGTCTACTACAAGTTACAAATCATAAAATATCTAAGTGAAGCGAAGAAGGAAGTTTGCTTTGAAAATTTAGATTCTACTACCCTAAAAACTTAAATAAAGTTTGATCGATCCTAATTTTAAAAAAAAAAAAAAAAAAAAAAATCGCAGGCAATTACAAATAAATAGCTTAGGCCGTACGGGCCGCCCAATGTAATGTGCATTGCAAATCTTGTGCGAGGCGTAATTAATTCGAGGGGGAAGAAATAAATTTTTACCATCGACGGCATCTTCAGCAGCCGGGAGTGAGTAGGAGGAGGAAGAACAAATCAATTGGTTGAAATTAAAATTTCCCGCATTCCTGGAAAATCAAACTCTCAAGAAGCAGGCCCAATTCCGCTCCTCCCGTCGTCACTCCCGGCTCTGATGATGCTGCCCTCCATATACTGATGAAGCGAAATCTGCTGCTGCCTGCTGCTGCTGATGAGATTGACTTTGAAATGAAACTGGTTGTTCGAACTGCTGAGGCGAACCAGCGCCAGCCCCGCGGCGGGGAAGCCCCAGAACTCGTCCCGCCGCGCCGACGAAGCCGCCGCCCCGCCGTTGTGGCCGAATCCTCTCCCATCGACGGAACCCGAGCTAAACCTCGCCATCTCATTCTGCTGCTGTGGCTCGAGGGTCCTCAGCATCTCCTGCTCTCTCGCCGCCGCGGCCAGGTGCCTGCGCGTCGACCATTGCTGCTGCTGCATCTGCGCGCCGCGGACAGGCCGCAACCCCATCCCCATCCCGCGACCCGTACGAAGGGTCACGTGGTGAAGGTCCAGTTGGCGTTGAACGCGGAGCGCGGCGGGGGACGAAAGGTTGGGTGGTGGGAGGGAGGAAGGGGCCTGAGGCGGCGGGGGCAGATTGAAGGGGCGACGCTCCGCTTGGAGGACTTGAAGGTCGTCCTTGATCTGGTTGATCTTGTGCCTGGTAGGAAGCGAGATGTTCGAGCGACAGCGTAGACGGGGTCCGGAGCTCTGGCCTCGGCCTCGTACTGCGAGGATTGACGCCTATTCGCGTTCTCGCCGCCTGCGCGGGGGGACTCGTTGAGGCTTCGCCAACGTTGCTCGCGCCGGAACACGCGGTTGCACCGTTGGCGAATTTCGTCGGCTGGTGCGGGGAAGCATAGGGCGAGGACATACGCAGCCCTGCGTGCACGTTGCGCCGCCAGGACTTGCCGGCGGCCGCAACGGCGAGCTAGGACGTATGACATCGAGGCGAGTTCTAGAGGCGGCGGCTGCGGCTGGCGGTGGGTCAGCGGAGGAATTAAGGCAGGAGAGAGGTTAGGCGTTAGGTTCACCCGATCAGCGCGAGCGAAAAGGCTAACCCAATTGAGGAATATTGGCTGATCTTAAATTACCAAAGACTTAAATGGCAAATGTCGGAAAAACCCAATTGAGAGAGATTTCGTGTCAAGCAACCCAAATGGGTTTTGTGAAATTTACCATTTCTTAAAAAAAAAAAAACGTTGTGATCGTGATCCAATGCGATTAGTTGGCGGTTCAGATGCGGCCTCGGTTTACAAACAGCACGATTTGGTGCCAGCTTATGTCTCGTTGTTTCGGAACTCGAACGAAGTAATTGCCATGGCTCTGAGAGAGAGAGAGAGAGGATTACGGGCCTTTGGTCAATTTCATCATTTTTATAAGTAATTACTGCAAGTTTGTGCATCTCCACTGGAACATTTATTCCTCATTTGTCACCTTGCTTCTATTTTCGGTTAGAGGTCTCTGCATATATATATATCCCTCACGTACTCCATATTTGCAAAAGTACCATCAAAATATTGACATTTGCAAAACTGTCCCCCACCAAAAAAAAATTTTCTCATATTGATTTTTTACCCCCTTTTACTTACTAGTTTTGATTTTTAAACGGGTAATTATTAGAGATTTTAACGTTACCTTATTTAAAAAGCAATATTCTTAAGCTGAAGCAACAGAGAGAGAGACCCAATATGCAAGTTTTGAGGGGCAAGTTTGTAAATACCAAGATTTGAGGGGTAAATTTGCAAATATTGAAGATTCGAGGAGTATATATGCAAAAACACCTTTTAGTTAATGATGAAGTACGTAATTTTCTTTTCTTTGTTAATCACCAATCAATCAATTATTATTTGTTACTATGTATTGGCGTCGACTAGATCTGTTTAAGAGTAGTTGTTTGTTTATTTGTCAGATTGCTTAGATGTTCAGTTAATGCATTTTATGTTTAGGGGCTGTTTGGTTCGTTTCCTTGATATAGGGAAATACAATTCCATGTAAAGAAATATAAGTTTTGAGTTTTTTAAAATTTTCCAAGAAATAGATTGTTTTGCTTTGGTTCGCATATAAAAAATGGTGAGAAACCAATGTATTTATTTTTCTTGTGTTTGGTTCGCATAGAAAAAAAGGAAAACTTTTGTAAACAAAGAAGAGAAGGAAAAAAATCTGACGTGACAGAGTTTTCATCAATTTCACTCGGTTGGGGAAGGAAATCGGAGAGGGAAAAAAATCTGAGCTGGCGGCGATTTCAATAGAGTTTTCCCTCTTCCATCCGAGCGAACCAAAGCGGCACAAAGAAATGGACGGAAACAAAAAAACTGACGTGGAGGGCTAAAAATCTGACGTGGAGGGGTTTTCTGAGTTTTTCACCCCTTATAATAGCGAACCAAACAACCCCTTAGCGGCATGAGATGGAATATGATTTAAGAGGTACAACGGACATGATAATATTACTTGAATTTTTTTATCTTTTAAACCGTTGTAAATAATGTTGCAAACAATTATTCCTTATTTGTTTGTTACAACAATGATGGCTTTTTTGTCAATTTTTTTCGGGATCACTGCATGATTTACATTCTTCGTTTTGGTACAGCAATAACAACAGAATTTAGCACCTTTTCAGATTCTAATTGATGTTTGCTGTTTGTCTTGATGTCAAAGTTCTATTCTATATTTGGTAGAATTCATAGATATGTGTATAAATGTAGATTTCAGATCCAATTAGATGTAAGCAGCTACTTTAAATGATTTCAATTATTACAAGAATTAAGCACACACTCACACATATTTTTTTTCAATTTACGCATATTATTTTTATTTCTTTGGTTTATAAATACGCTCTTCGAATATGCTAAGATACCTAGTGATGATTGATTATATTTCTTTAGATACTATTACCTACAGATCATCTATTAACTAATATATTAAGGGCATATTTGGTTTGTGGGTTAATCTTTAGGCATGTAATGGATTTTGAAAAATCCATAATTAAAATTATGTTTTTTATGATGAACGTTAAATAGGATTTGCATGAGGGTTAAAATCCAATCAAATTTTGCTTGGTTGTACATGAATTTTGTTGAAGATATGTGACTATATTACACATTCGGTCGAAATCAGCATAATTTTAGGGAATTATATTTGATGCATTTTATCCTATGTTGAAAACCTAAATACATGTATTAAACATGATAAAGAAACAATGTATTTGCTAAAATTAAAAATCTATGACTTTTAACTTCTGGGTCCCCTTTTTTTGACGTAAGGATGCAAAATGCATGGAAGCAAACAAGCCTAAATGCTTATGAAGAAAGAGACAATGAGTACATATTTTTGCTATATTATGAGAAGAAGAGAATGTAGTCTTTTTTTCTTATCAGTTAAAGTAGATATTCTGAGTGGTAGAATTTTTCTCAGATAAATTTAAATCCTAAGTTTGAAATTTAAATTAATTAGATAGCTTAGCCATCAATCTCTCATTTATAAATCTTTATAAAATTTCATGGTTTTCAAATTAAAAAACAATTGAGATTTCAATTTCTCAAAATATCAGTCAATGGTCATGTTTGGTTGGCCAAAATTAGTACACGAATAGGATTAGGATTTTCCTCTAATCCTAAATTGGATAGTAGAAAGTTCCACTATCTCTTAGTATTAAGGTTATGAGACTTTTCATGACAATTTTAATATATTAACATACTATATTAAAATATAACATGTTAAATTAGAGGGCACTTGTAATTATAGATTTTATGGGTGCTACCTATAAAGTTTTGAGGGCTATTTGTAATTCTTAAAACTTATAAGGGGGTGGTTGTAAAGTTTTCATAGGGCTATTTTGTAAAAATTTTATAGAGGTTATTTGCAATTTACAAAACTGAGTGAATTTTTGTAAATTATTTTGTGGTGATTTGTAATTTTGAAAACTACCACAGGTTTGTTCTTAAGGAATTATAACTAATATTGTGAAATATTTAGCACGGTGTTTGTTACATTACCAACTTTCATAGGGCTAGTTGTATAATTTTCAAATGGCCCTTTGTAAAAATTTTAAGGGGATATTTATAACTATTGAAACTTTTTAGGGTATGGTTATAATATTTTCAGGGGTTGTTTGTAAAGGTTCGGAGGTCTATTTGTAATTTTGGAACTTTTGAGATGATTGTTCATAATTTTAATATTTTCTAAGGATTGATTGCAATTTATTGATTTTAAAGGAGCACGTAATAATTTTCTAAAATTTATGGTGCTATTTATAACTCTCATATTTCTTAGGGGTTTATTTATAATTGTTAAATCTTAAGTGGTTGTTTGCAGCTTTAATGGGGTTATTTGTAATTTTTTGAATTCTGCGGAGTGTTTTCAATTTTTGAAACTTTCAAGGGTCTTTTATAAATTTTTAGGGGTTATTTGTAAAATTTCAAATTTACAGCAGGGTATTTATTATTTTCGCACTCTTATGGGGCTAGTTGTAAAATTTTGAAAGGGTTGTTTGTAAAATTTCTTGGGTATACTTATAATTTTTAAAACTTTGAAGGGGCTTGCTGTAATCATCATTTTTATAAGTAATTAGTGCAGGTTGTGTATCTATTAGAACATTTATCCCTTATTTGTCTCCTTGCTTCTATTTTTAGTTAATGATGAAATATGTAATTTTCTTTTCTTTGTTAATCACCAATCAATCAATTATTATTTGTTGCTAAATATTGGTGTTGACTGGATCTGTTTAAGAATAGTTATTGTATATTTGTCTCGTTGCTTAGATGTTCAGTTAATGTATTTTATCTTTAACGGCATGATATAGAAATTATGAATAGGCGGGTAAAGAGGCTCAACGGGCATGATAATATTATTTGAAATTTTATCTTGATTTTATTTAAACCGTTGTAAATAATGTTGCAAACGATTATTCCCTATGGTCCCGTTTGGCAAAGGGTTAATGAAGAGGGGTTAAAGAGAAGGATTGATGTACTTAGCCCATTTGATAATCCGAAGGACTAAATTATTAACCCGTTAAATAAGTTTTATTTTAGCCCTTATGATCAGTTTTAGTGTTTGAGAATAATAATGATTTTGACTATTTTCTTTATAATTAGAAGGGTTAACTCTTATTCTATCTAAATAGGAGTATTAGTAAACCCCTCATTTTGAGGGGTTAACTCATTTTAACCCCTCTAGA